CTGCGCGCGCACCTCTCCAAACGGACGAGGCGTTTATACTTGACGCGCTCGCCGTTGTGCTATTCTGTGAAACGACAGGGGGCGACTCAGAGTAATTATCTTCTAAACCACCAGGAATCAGCAGTGAAGAAGTAGTTTGCCGTTTATTAGTAGTTTATTAATTGCTGATTCATATAAAAAGAGTATTAAATGCAGTAGGTTTATTGTACTTTCACTGCATGTAAACTTAACAACTGAAGCCTTATTGAAGAGTGTTTAAACCTTAATTTCATCAGCAGGGCTTACTTCTGCTATTGTAGGCTTATTTTGTAAATGTAAGCAGTTACTTTAGACAAGTGCAAACTGGGTGCTTAATGCAAATGCGTTCCTATTCACAAAATGAGAGGCTTTTATGGTCGCCCATCAATGCAAATGTCTCTGTATATAGAAGGATCATAAACATGCTGATACAGACGCACCAGTTCGGGCAGATTCGGTTCGAAGTCGTTCATCTTCGGTTGCGGCGCCGCGCGCGATGTTACAAAAAGTGCCGTGCACACCGCCAGGCGAAATGGGGTCTTGCGCACCCAACGCGCACGACCGCCCACACCGCAATGACGTCATTTTTGCCGCGCGCACCTTCGCGCTCTTGCGGACGCGTCGAGTATGGCCCTGTCCCAAATGGCACACTTCATGTGCACTTTCGGTCTTGTGGACTTACAATGGCTGCCGCGTGCGCGTGTCCGTTAAGTCCGTGAGACCGCAGTGTGTCCCATTTGTCATTTTTAGATCTCAGAAGGGTGCTCGCGAGCGCCCCCTCTGCGGTCGATTTGCGCCCTTGATGCGCACTTTTGCCGAGCCCACGCTGATGAGGACTCCACAGCAGACTTCTTCCCGACATTCAAAGCGGCGTTACGTCGCGAAAGTGAGGACTCAGAGGAAGACCGCGAGTGCTTAGGGTTCCATTTGGGACAGGGCCTCAAAACAAGGCTTTAGCGTTTCAGAACATCCACGAGGAGGCGGGTTTCGTGACATTATCGCATACAATAGAAGTCCCATTTCATTGGCTAGGCGCCAACCAATAAGACGGCTCCTTCGAACACCCCCGCTCCCGCCCCCCTTCCGCTCTCGCCGCCACCGAGTTACAAGTGCACAAATCAGTTTTGCACCTCATATATTGCGAAAAGAGTAGCAAAAGTCAAGGCGCGAAATTTGAACTTGCAGTGACAGATTTGAGAAGTTGCAAGTGCCAATTTGAGGTTGTACTGCGAATTTGAATGTTAGAAGAAGTGCAAATATATTTTACATGTTTGTGATTGTCATTGTATTTCTGTGAATGGCATTTTACACATTTGTGACTGCTTGTCTGCAGCTTCAGAATACAGGTTTGTGACTATTGTCTGCGAGTGCAAATCTCAGCGTTCAAGTTCAGATTTTTATTTTACAGGTTTTCACATCGGAGCTGTGAGTGTAAATGTTCACATACAAGTACGAATATTTATTGTACAAGTTCTCAAATTCACATCTACGTGCTCTCGAGTTTAGCTACTGATTTACCTTCATAATGGGGCAGTGCCGACAATATTTAACCCTGCAACTTGCGAGTAATTTATTTAAAAACGTTTTGAACTGTCACTTTCAGATTTGTCCCTTACCGCTTCATGTTTCCTGTTGTAAGGAGACTTCCGGTTATCACGTGTAGTGTACATAGACTGTAAAAAAAGGTAGAGTAGCCGAGGTTGAAAGGATTATGGGAAACGTAGTTGAGAGCCAATAAACTAGACTCCTCAATCCTCTGCCAAGAAATTCTGTGAGAATAACTAGGATAAAAAAAAGACATTTCCTAAAAATAAATTAGTAAACAATATTTTCATTTAAAGCCAAAAGAAAGAGATCTTATCTGAAATATATTTTGGTTTTAAATTAAGCAGATGCAGAATGAAATGATAACTGTGTCAAGTTCGGTGAGTGGTGATATCTTTTTTTAAAGACCCCTAGTGCGCCTCTTCACCCCAGTTTGAAAAATCTTGATACAGATTGGTATATGACGTAAATTTGTAGGCCAGAACACGGAAGCGAGGTAGCATTTTAGCATTTCCAGTTCCATCGTCCAGAAGTCAAAGGGTTTTTTGAATGGATTTTTGGTTAAATGGCTGAAATATGGTCTGTGGAGAACACAAGCTCAAGATACTTTCATGTTTTATTCTAAGACACATCAGTATCACCCCACTTGTGATTTTTTTAAGCTGTTATGTGTCTTGAAATGGTGTAGTGTGAGCGACATTATTAAGTTAAAGGTGCATTGCGCAACTTTTCATGTTAAAAATACCTGTTTTTCTTCCTATACATGCTTAAAGAACTGCCTGATGGGCTAAATGAGCCCTTCTCTGCTTACTGAGATTGCCTCTATAATCCTGTACAGTAAAATATATAAGAGGGATTGGGGCTCGAATTTGAGACTGGGCGTGACGTCATGCGCGTTCACGCTCACCAGGCTGTCTCGCAAGTTTGTGTATTCGCCGGCGCCGCCATTCTCCGCATCAGCGGACAACTCGTGCGTCAAAAGTAGAAGATGGATTCAAAGAGACCGGCTTGTAGTCCATTCCAAACCCCAACGCAAACTCCACGTAAAGTAAAAAAAATACAAAAAATTGTCTAGTGCCACCAAAAGGCCCAAATTGGAGTCAGACAGGCGTCGGAGTAAGACGATAGTCAACCTCGGGAAATGGCGAGATCTCCGGTCTGCTCTTGGTCTCAAACGGGATCCTCAGTTGGCTTTTTTCTTGATAAAACGGTAAGATATAGCCCAGTCTCTAATGTTTGATACGGCCAATCTATGTATGACAACAAATGACGATGCGTAAAATGTGTAATGCTTTAGCGTAAGCTAGATACATATACAATCAGAATTGATTTTATACCATTGTCAGTGAACAGTTTCATAAACTAGGAATTGTGTTCGGACCAACAAGGAAGAACGCCGTTGCATTGGCTATATTGTCTTTTTCGGTAAAAATAGTAAATTGTAAATCCTTTCACTGCTGTCACTGCTATCCTCAGTGCTTCTCTCCACAGTAACATCAAATTGGTCAGAGCTCGTATTCTATCAAAACGAGGAAAACGTAAAATATTTTGGTATTGTGATAAAATACATGTTAATGTGTCAATAATTTCACATTAATGTTTGTCAGTGTGTATTGTCCCTGTCAAAATATCTACTAAATAAATCAGCGCTACATGTAGTTTAGTGATTAGCAAAACAGTTCAAGATTCTTGAGTGTGAGATAACATGCTGAAAAATATGACCGATAATTAGACACAAATTTTGAGTAAATTCTAACAGAAAAAGGATTGTTATTGGAATATTCCCAGATCAATACAACAGGCTGAACCCCGCAAGTCTTCGGCAGCTTAGCCTGTTTTGGCTTTTATGAAAACGTCATGGTGACATTTGATTGTTTATTACCTTGTGACATTTGAGTGAACGTTGTTGACCAACCGTGTACGGTATGATTATTATTTTGAACTATTGCGAAGTAATCAATTATATTGTTCATGAACGTGTTTTCATAACAATACAATCATAGGTGGATACAGTAAATAGACAGTAGAAAAGTTTTCTACTACCCCCGTTTTCCCCTCACACATAAGAGTAATTTACTCAAATGTCTTTCCTTCCATAAATTTGAAATGACTTGCAGATTTATAACTTTATTACCTCTGAAGACATTTTGGCTGTACTGTACACCAAAGATCTGTACAGCAGATGCTCCTTTAGTTATGAACAGCTCGTGCATGCGTGCGTGTGGTCTATGAGCGTGCACAACTCTGGTTGCAGTTTTGCTTGTCGCCAGAGGGGGCGTAGTTCTGCAAAAACTCAGAAACCTGCGTTTTGCACCTTTAAAAACTAATGATCTTTGCAACGGAAGTGAATCAATCAAAACTAACTTTAGCTGGACAATAACTTTATTCTAGCTGCTGTAAAGCCAAAACAATCTCTGTTACTTTAATTTCGTATTATCACTCTAAAGCTGCTTTGAACAATCTATATTGTTAAAAGCGCTATATAAATGAAGGTGACTTGACTTGAAAATGGCAGTTGCTAACAAGTGGCTAAATGTGAGTACAGAGGCTGTCGAGCAGATTAAACGTCATCGCAGAAAAGGTAAACTCAGTCTGCTTTTACAGCCTCATTATGCTTATAATTGTGCTCTTACAAACTTACTCAAACGTTTTAGACAAATGTATTTTAGGTTAAAACTGAAAGAGTTGTTGGAAGCTCAGTGGTGGTGAGGTTGAAACCGTGGGACCGTGGTGTAGTTCGTTTATAGCCTAGCTTTTTACTTCAGGTGACCGCATCTAGGCTTCAAAATTCACAAGTTATGTTCATCTGTGAAAATGATCTTGATGGACAAAACATGTAAGTATGATATCATAAACATTTGTTGGTCACAAAGCTTTTTTTGGCATCATTTAAAAGCCTATGGGAAAATCCTATTGGGTTTTTGTTGAGGAAACCAGTGTGATGCCAACTGCCAATTCGCCTACAAAGTGATGTCATACCTGCACCGCTCTATGGACTTTGATTATTTTAAATACAGCTAATTATATAAAGTCTCAATCCTAACACTATTCTGCATAAAAAAAAAAAACACACAAAAAAAAACACGGAATCATTTTAATTGAGGACAAAATTGTCCCTAAAGTAAGCAGACTCAGATCAAATAAAAATTAAAAATCATTTTGGGCCCCTAAATGTCTGATTTTTCTTACTTTAGGTGCAATTTTGTCTCCAAACCTCCACACAGCAATGAATGCACATATGAGGCATCATCTTTAGCAAAAAGACCACAAGTAGCTCCGAACATCCGGTGCAACTTGACGTCATTAGGTGAGGTGACACGGGTTGTGTGATGATGATGATGATGATTCTGAAGTCCTATTATCAACGCGCCGCTGCTGGTTCGGGCTACACACACACACACACACACACACACACCGGCTGTGATTGACACAGCGAAGGGGTGGGGACGCAGGGTGGGGTCAGCAGCAGGGAGAGGCGGAGGAGAGACTCACAGCTCGAGCCCAACCCTGAAACACGGCAACAAACACACACTGAAAGACGACCGGGGCGACGGAAAGAGGGTTTATTTCTCGACGCCGGGGATATGATTTCTGTGATCCGCCGAGGCAAAGAGTGCACCCTTCTCCTCTAATACTGAGGTGGAAAAACTGACATCGACTGTAATTCAGATATCACCCCGCCCGATCCGATCGACCCCCCCTCCACTCCACCCCTCCGCCGCCGCTTAGATACCGAGATGCACACGGAGACTCGGAACAAAAAAGTAAGTCCGTTTATCGTTCGCTATAGGCTCATTTGCAACGTAGCCGATAGCTTTAGACGGCACTCGCTGTCCTATTTCCATTCTGCAGGAGTTCCTCATCTTAGTTACCCGGTTTCGGTTTGCTCGCCGTTAACCGTAACGAGCCTTTAATAGCTGAGCTGCTGTGTGATTACTTCACTCCTGTGCATGCGCCTCTGAGCCAGCCCCTTATCCGAAAGCCTCCTAACGATAATGCTGGTGCATTTGAAATACTTGTGCAACTTGTGAGAAAGTCAGTGTGTCACATCCGTCAGGGTCGTCTTATCTGCAGTGCTGTTTTAAAGCTGTGAACGCAGGAAGGAAGCGCGCCGAGTGCCGCTTGCTGGAGAGACACCATCTTAGCTGATTTCTTAAAGGGACAGCAGCCTTGAATATGCATGCGATGAAGAAATTGTTTTTGCTGCTGTCTAATTCTATGTTCTATCGTCTTTTGTCCTCCGCTCTCAGTTATTAAAGGGCTAAATATTAATGTGTTGCCGGCCGGCAATGCATTGCCTAATAAGAGACTGCAGCTTGTACTCAACTAGGACTGTAGGCTACTGGAAACTGTCATGAACATCCCATGACAAGGAGGGGGTCACATTTGTTGTGTGCATTTGTAACTGTCTGTTTATTTGTTATTGTTGCAAGAAAGTATGTTCTGGAACTTTTAAAGGGTAATATTGATATCTAGAGCTGCTATAATGCCTGTCACTATCACAAATTAACAGCCTAACCGGATGTTTAGCACCCCAGCACACAGCAAAAAGGTTATTTTGTTATTTTGGAAAATGGTTTACCAAATGAACATTTATATGTGATGGCCAAGACAACGGTCATTATTCAGAAATATGAACTATTTCACAGCAGAATGCATGCAGTGATTGGTCAATCACAATCAAGTATTTTAGAGAGCTGTGAAATTACATATATTAGACTTATTATTGCAAGATATTTGTATACTTTTAGATGCTTTATATACATATATAATGCATCTAAAAGTGTCCAAATATCTTGCAATAATCAGCCTGGCCAATATATTCATCCATCAGGTAAGGTAATGAATGGTTATAGTGGTTTCCCAAATTAATGGTCAGTTGTATAGCAATGCCTTGGACAAGTCATTATTCCAAAATATTTGACTGCAGAATGCAGTGATTGGCAAATCAGAATCAAATAGAGAGTCTCATTTATTAAAAGAAAAACAAAAACCATCCAGCTTATTGGATGTGATCGTCTCAATATGCCTAAATGTCTTGCCGATATATTGATCCCTCTCTACAAAGACGCATTGTTAAGGTATTGCACATTTGAATCTACTCTAGAGCAACCCGTAAGTGTAAAATACATAATTAATGTAATTGCACACCACTTTTTGCCTTTAATATCTTCTGTTGGTGTGTTCTGCACTTGAGCTCATTTCTTTGGAGCAGCGTCTCCTGCAGGAGCAGTTACTGAAGGAGTCAGGGAGGTGAGTGGACTGAGGCGTTATCATTGGAGGAACAGAGAGTGCTCTGGGCGTGCCAGACAGCTGGTAATCATTAACATCTGTGGACAAACTTTGGTCAAAGTGGTTTAACACTCATCTAACCCTCTGTAGGTCTCAGCCTTTGGGTTTTGTCAGGGTGACATCGTTTCAGGAGGGTGTTCTAGGTTGAGGCATCCATTGGCAGCCTAATCAAGCCTGCTAGCCAGGGGGTGATGTAAAGTGTATCTGTTTTTAGGAGTTGAGACAGTTAGGGACTGTCACGGTCCAAGAGCACAGTTATTTTTAGGAGAAGGGTGCAGTCGGCCCTGGGTGTGACTGAGGTTGTGTTTTTGCAGGGCGGCTATGGTCCACGCCTAGCAGTTCCTCTCACTCCCTGTCTTAAATCGCCTCTCGTGTTTTTGACTGCACTTCAGTCACACCCTTAACTTGTCCTAAAGCTTAGCTCTAAAGGTCCAACACCAATTAGTCAGTGTTCAGTTTTGTATAAACTTGATTTGGTATCACTCTTCCTCCCTTAGATATTTCAGGTAAGTCAACAATATGGTGTAGTGCCTCAACATCACATGCTTTGTTGACCATTGTCTCCTCTATTGTCAAGAATGTTGACCATATGAAGCTGGATCTTCTGACACCTTCAGTTTAGGCCTTATTCTGAATACAGTACAGTGTGTGAATACAGATACAGGTGGGATAAGTCCAGCATGTCTTTTATGATCCACTAATACAAGGTCATAAAAGACTCTCACACTCAGTCAGGTGTAAAATCCTTTTATATTCGTACAGCCTGCAGACTAGGGTCAACATTACACCTGCAGATCTGAAGTTCTTCCTGTTGTTCACTTGTTTGCTGTTGTGGATACATGGATGAGTGGTTAATCATTGGTATAATATAAATAGTCTTTTTGCAGGTTTAATTAGTCATAAGTGAAAAACTTTTTATTGTAAAGCTTGTATTTCAGTAAATATTCAACATTTCAAGAAAGGTTGAACATAAACATTAAAGTCCCCCTGTAGTCATTAATTCTATCTCTTAAAACTCATCTTTGATCACCAAAATGAGATTTCAATGTTTTTTTCCTGTGAAAAAAAAAATCTTCATGCCTTAAAATAGCTTGAATGTAACTCTACACCCTTGTTTCATTTAGTATATGTGGATCCACAAATATGCAGATTAGCCCCGCCTCCACTCACTCACTCACCCAGCTCAGAGATCCACTCGCTCAACTTTTACTCAAGTTACTGTAGTAAACTCTGCTCAAAGGTATCACTCTATATAACGTCGGACACATAACGGTAATATGATTAGCCTTTTGCTTGATTACGTTGACAAACGGCTAATAATGTGTTGCTAATGTTACACAATCCATGTTCCCGTTTGCGGTCTCAGAGTCTCAGTCTGCCTTATAAAAATCACCATCCTTAAAAATGCTTTGAACATCATAGAATGTCAGTGGAGAAAGGCATATAGTTCTTCATAACATCATAATATACATCATACATAATTCACCCGCTATATTGTTAAATGTACACGATTTTTCATATCAAAAGGAACAATATACCGGTATGGCTGCTTTTGAGATTCCCGTGCTTCACAGGAAAGGAATGATGCACAAACCTGCCGGCACGTTGACATGATTGGTTACAAGGTAGTTTGTGATGTAAGAAACACCAGTGATTTCAAACCGCGTTTTTGAGACTGTCTTTGGTTCACTGCAGTTTTAAGGAGAAAATACTCAGCAATGGTGTTGACTTATGAATTTGTACATGGTTTGTCTTAAAGCATATTAAAACCAACAGACATATAAACAACAATAAAAACTTGATTTTCACCACAGGGGGTCTGAATGAATTAAGTTGAATGAATGTAGTACGATTTACGCCCAAAGTACACACAGTTGAATGCACAGCCTTTCAAAGTATACTTGATTGGAGGTCAACACATGCACACTAGTTTCATCCTTGTCCAGTGTCTTTTTCTCCAAAAGTTCTGAGTGATAAAAAATGTCTTTGCACTTTTTTTAAACTAGAGTCGCCAGTGTCTTTTAACCCTCTCACACTACACAAGTGCTCTTCAACTTCTGCCGGTTGCCGTCTCCAGTAATCCGTAGTCTTTTATGTTTCTTTTATGTTTAACAGTGGTCTGGGCCAGTTTTGCCACCTTTTGGATTAAAACTAATTAGTGCATAAAAAAATTCAAGGTCATGTGCTGGTGACTAAATGTGTTTCTCGCACACTGTACGTATACCCTAGCGTGCGTGTAAAAACCAAAGTATGCTTTGGGCTTTACTGTACGTTCACACCGCCGCCGACTTGAGCTTCCAAAGCGGCCGGAAGTCATTCATTTTCAATGGAAGCTGGCTTCTCTCAGCTGCAAGGAGCGTCAAATCCATCGGCGTCGCGTTTTGGGCGTTTTGAGCGTCGTCAATCAGAAAGTTGAAAGAAGCCCAACTTTATGGTAATGAGCTGTGACGCGGTTCAGCGGCAAGCAGCGGCAAAACGCCAGCAACCAATCGGAATATAGACGTCCCTCGCGCTGGCTGATTCCGGAGAAACACACGCTGTAAACTTTCGTTCCTACCAAAACATTAGTTCCGAGAAAATGGAAGAGAAGCCAATAATCGCCGTTGCTGGGTTTCCTATCATTTATGACATGACGTTGTTTGCTTATAGGGACCGTGAGAGCGCAACTTTTATTTGAAATATTTACGATCGCTCGTTTTAAAGCGGGAATGCAATTCATTTGCTCACGGTGACACCGATTTGACCGCAAATAATAATAATAATAGTTCTATTCTTTTTTCCCCGACCAAATGTGACCAAAACGGTTATAAAAATGTTGTCATTATAAAAGATTTCTTTAATGTATTGCTAGTTTTTTTCTGTTTATTACATTTTATGTTGTGACACTTCTATTCTCCCTGCAACGTCAGAGCGTTCAAAGCGTCCAAAGCGTCAACAAGCTTCCCTGTACTTTTTGACAAGCGTCCTTGACAGGGCGGCCAGAGCTTCTTTGACGCTCAAGTCGGCGGCGGTGTGAACGTACAGTAAATTGATAAGCTTCGAACAGATACATTCACATTTTTGTAGAGCTCGACCGATTAATTGTCACGATAAATCTGTTTTTGGCAAAAATCTATAGCGATAGTTTTTCCATGTTGCGTCCGTTACTGGAGCGGCTGAGAAGTGTCCGCTGTCATTATACAGTACGAGAGCGACCTCTAAGGGAAATCACTGATGCCTAATGGAGTTTGTTTTGACACGTGAGACTTCGCTGCATAGAGTGGTACACTTCAGATGCAGATTTAAAACGGTCAATGAAACGGCACAGTACATGTTGTCATACCATTATAAAGCAATGGGCTCTATGCACGGCGGTATTTCCGGTGAAGGTCTAAGGATGCTGGATTACTTCCGCCGATCGTAGAGTCCAATGCTATACCGAGAATTTATATTGGCTTTTATACTCTATGGCTATACTAAAGAAACGTTAGTC